CGAACAAAGGTTTGAGCAAGGAGCAACAGCTGATACACAAGGAACACAAGCGACTGATAGAGATCCCAGACAAATGACTAGAAGTGACAAAGAGAAGATAGAAATAACAAAAGGACAGACTATAAGACAAAGGAGTAGGAGGAGAGAAGATAAGATGGAAACTGATCACAATATACAACCTGAATCTGCTGAAGAAATTGGATTAAAAGTTATCACTACAACAAAACATGGAATCCCAACATCGAGACCAACAGGAGGGACAATAGTAAAAAACTGTGAAGGAGGGATATACAAGTGGACATATCAAGAAAAATCCCTAAGTGAAGATTATGTCTGGTCACTAATTACTACGGACAAACTAAAGATTACGACCAAAGACTTTAAAATAGTAGACCCGTCAGAGTTTAGAAGAGTCAGAAGCGGGAAACAGGATGATAGGTCTCCACTTCAACAGTCACAATCCAAGTATAAGAAATAATGGACAATAGACAAACAGTAAGAACTTTAAGAATAATACAACACAACGTAAGAAACTGGAAGACCGAGAGAATTAACCTAAGTAATATATATCAAGAAATTGACCCTGACATTATACTAATAAACAGTCACGGTGAGACAGAAAACAACAACATAAAACTCTTTAACTATTATGTAAACCAAAGAAATAAATCGGGCGAGAAAAATGACGGAGTAGCGATAGCGGTTAAAAGAAACTTAAAATTTAAACTAATTGATGACTTCCAGGATGAATTTCTAGCAATAAAAATAAATACAACTCAAGGAGACGTAATTATTGCTACTACTTATCTCCCACCGAGACGACCCTACTTACCTATAGAAGACCTATTAAAATTGGCTAACAATAGTCATCCGATGTACATCTTAGGAGACTTTAACGCCAGACATAGGATTTTTGACAATACAAATAATAACGTCGTGGGAAACGCCCTTAATCAATTAATAAACCTAGGGAAAATCAATCATCTAGGTCCTAACTTTCCAACCTGGAGAAATCACAATACACAATCGACACCAGACAAAATTTTTACCAACAACAAAGCCTTTTTCAATTACCATATAATACAAGGACCTCTTACAGGCAGTGACCATCTGCCAATTATACTAACACTGTCAACAAGCCCCATACAGATACCAATAAAAAAGAGACTGAAAATGAGTAAAACAGACTGGGACAGCTTCAAAGACGACTTAAGTAATCACCACTCGATTAACCTACAAGGGAAAACAACAGAAGATATAGACTCAGAAATGGACTGACTGCACTCAGCAATAAAAACATCTATAACCAAACACACTCCTACTTCACACTTTAGAACATTACCCAACAACAGACTACCAGAAGAAGTTAAATTAATCCAGACCTATTACAATGAAATAAACAGGTATATGGAAAGACACGGCAGTAACAGATGGCTATATACGACACAGATAGCACTACAGATAAAATTAAGAGACGCATGTAAGGAAGCAAACAATAAAAAATGGAATGATATTATAATGGCGGCTGACATGACTAAAGACACAAAAACATTTTGGACTTCCATAAACAAGATGATGGGGCACAACAAGCAAAAAACACCATACATTAAAGACCAAAATGGAACAAAATTGCACGAGGAAAATGAACAAGAGTCAGCATTCAAAAGGGAATGGGTAAAAGTTTTTAAAATATCAGATGAGGAAAATGAAGATTTTGATAGTGAACACGAAGAAAGGATAGAAGAAGAAATGGGAAGACAAATACATAGAATCACCCCAAGGCAATATATAGACAATAACTTATTACCTAATAATCAAATAATAACCATGGGAGAAATGATGCACTGTCTGAGGAAATTTAAGGAAAAAGCCCCTGGGCTCACAGGTATTACACGAAATATGATCATGAATCTACCTGAAAACATTTTAAATACACTATTAAACATTTATAACGCATGCTTAATAACTGGTTACTTTCCAGACAAACTAAAATATGCTAAAATGATATTTATTCCTAAGGAGGGTAAGGACAATAAGGAAATATTAAACTACAGGCCAATATCTTTATTAGAAATTACCGGGAAACTATTGGAAAAAATATTAAATTCAAGACTTATAGCCTTTTTAACACAACATGGGAAAACTAACAACAGACAACATGGATTTATGCCCAATAGAAATACCCTAACTGCAATAGCTACAATAACGGAAATAATTGCAATAGAAAAAAGCAAGGGTAACCAGATCAATATAATTTTAAGGGATGTTTCTAAGGCTTTTGATAAAGTTTGGCATTTAGGCTTGAAATATAAAATATTAAAACTGGGACTTAACGAATACTTGCTAAGAATATTGTGTAACTATTTAGATGATAGGAGAGCACAAATTCAAATTGGAAACTTTTAGGAACTATGTTTAATCTTGAGAGTGGAGTACCTCAAGGAGGATGCCTTTCTCCAACACTATATACAATTTATACTTCAGACACACCTCAACCTACCCCCTTTAGCGAATATGTAATGTTTGCTGATGATATTACTCAAATAGTATCATACCCAGGAAAATCAACTCAATTTATGGCACTCTACACGGTAAGAGCGATAAAAAACATAAATGATTTTGAGAAAAAATGGAAAATCAGGACAAATAAGAACAAATTCAAGATAATACCAATAGCCAAGATTAAAACAAGTCCAGTAATAGTCGACCAGGAACTATACCCATACGACACTGAAGGTAGGATGCTTGGATTAAAACTAACAAAAAGAGGATATATAACATACTTAAAAGATAAAGAACGACAGGCAAGAATAAGATTATCAAAAATAAAACGCTTTAAGAACCTTAGCATTAATAACAAAAGAAAGATTTATATTGCCCTTGTTAAATCAATTATGGACTACCCACCCATCCCATTGAACACCCTTAGTAAAACGTGCATTAAAAGGTTACAAACAGTACAAAATATAGCCCTCAGATTTATATATAACATAAAATATACAGACCACATCAATAATGAACAGCTACACAAGAGAGCAAACCTCTTAGCAATCAATGTAGATATACACAACAAAGCTGTAAATATTTGGAAAAAAGTGACTGAACTTAACACAGAAACATATCAAAACTGGATAAATAATATAGACAACGAAGAATTCCAAGAACACAGTTGGTTTAAATCAGCCAGGAAGAAAGTAATTGAACCATCTCCTGCCCCAATATACATATAAAACATTAATAGAGAGAATAAAAGATGAGAGTGACCTACCAGCTCCACAAGAACCTGGCAGGCCTCTCCATACAGCGTACCTTTAGACTAACATAACTAATATTTAACATTTAACATTTAACATTTAACATTGAACTAACATCTTAGTAAAAAAAAAAAAATAAATAAATAAAAATGTGACTACCCTCCCAGCTACACAAGGACCTGGGCGGGCTCACTAACTCAAAAAAAAATTAAATAAAAAATAAATAAAAAAATAAAAAAATATTAATAATATTAATAATAATAATGTGATTACCCTCCCAGCTATATCAGCCAGGAAGAAGTAATTGAACCACCTCCTGCCTCAACATACACATTTCTACATAAAACATTACTAGAGGAATAAAGATGAGAGTGACCAACCAGCTCCACTAAGAACCTGGCAGGCCTCTCCATACAGTGTACCTTTAGACTAACACAACTAACACTTAACTAACACCTCAAAAAAAAGTGACTACCCTCCCAGTTACACAAGGACCTGGGCGGGCTCACTAACTCCAACAATAACAAATAATAATAATAAGCAGCATTATATAAATAAACCAATATTAATACAAAGGTCTGACGACCCAAGGGAGTAGAACAAAGACAAAACACCAATAAGAAAGATGAAGCGATCTGGTTGAGCCCAGATTCTTTCTACTCCTACTGTATTTCAGTTTCACCACTTTTCCTTCAACTCCTAATAATCTTCTTTCACCTCTTAACTAAAGACTTCGTATCGTACCTCCTCCGCCGCTGCCTGGCTGCCTCGCTCCTCCTCGCCTGCCTGGCGGTCCTCGCTCCCGCCGGCGAGCATGGCGACCCACCAGCTGTCCTTCCCTGAGCTTCCTCACCAACCAACTCTCATTCTGGCCCATCTTCCTGAACATGCAACACCTCCTCCCAGCAAGCTCCTAGCTGTCCAGCATTCATTCAACTAGGAGGCCAGCAACATGCAACATCTTCTCTAACGAAGCTCCTGCACATCTACCTCCTTCAACACGCTACTCACCGAACGTCTTCTACTGAGCAGCCCCACCACACAGCACCTCCAGCACCAGACTGTCTATCATATAACTTATATTATACAAGAAAACCACATTAGAGTTTCTTTCCATCCTGAGTGCTAGACAACATTAATATCTCGATACCCCTACACCATCCTTATACGACTTTGGGAAGGCGGTGCCCCGCATATACAGTGGCAGTATACAAGTTTTAGATGATCAATGGAGAGACTTAGATGTGATTGCTATACCACCCATGATTAAGGACTGCAGTGACATAGTGGACGTTTATACAAAACTAGGGGAATTTAAGGACGGTGTTTCCCAATTAAGGACCTTTGTACATTTGCTTTGCAGGTATTGTCTCTTCCAATGCAGATGCAGAGAGACTATTTTCTAAATTGAATTTAATGAAAACAAAATCCAGAAACGCTCTGCAAACTCTCTATTAATTCATTTATAGCCTTGTCTGAGGCCGTGAAATTCCAGGGTGGATGTATAAATTTTACACCAAATCAGAGGATGCTAACTTCTATTTGATATTTGTTGTTCAATTAGTGTTTAATGTTCCTATGTTATGTTATAATATTATATGGTTGTAGGGTTTTTTATGTGCATATTTATATTTTGCCAAGACATTACAATAGTTATACCTAAACTCCATGCTTTTTAATGTCCATTAATACCCAACGAAAATGTGAGGAAAAATGACGTCATAGAGTTGAGAAATACTGTACACGGCAGCGGTCCCCGGGCGGTAGCAGAAGGAGTTTTCAAACTTGGTCAAGACAATAGGGAGCGAGTCACGTCAAGCTGTACTTCCTCATAACTTCTTCAAATAATCACAATCTACAACCAAGATGACGGGACTATGTACAGGAGTTATTGCAGTAAGTTTATATCAATGTGGTTGTGGTATATCAAATGTTGTAGGTTGCTAAATAAGGGTAAAATGTGGAGGGGTGTTGTGTAGGGTTGGTTTTGTTTTCCCCAGCTAGAGCAGACCGAAGCCACGTTTATTGTGTTTTAGTATTTTCTTTGATATTAGTGTGTGTATTATCTTTTGTGTATGCTTTTGATGTTTTATTGAAGGAATTATGATTTTGATTGGGTATTATTTACCTGTTTGATAATCATTTGTTTTTCATGTTATGGCTTGTTTGACGTATTGTGCAGTGGAAATTTTGCCGTGACCGGTTAAGTTCCTACTAGTGCTATTTTACCGTGAGTGCGCTTTGATTGGATGAGTACTTTCTATTTAATATGATGGGTGGTCTGGCCCCTGGCTATAGGAAGTTCGGTAGGTTTCTTTGGTTGGTTAGGTTCTATTAGGTTCTAGTAAATGTCGCCTCTTTTATAATGATAAGTTTCCATGCCCAACAGAAGTATGGTTAGGTATGTTTACAGCTACACAGCGATCAACTCAAAGCGAAATAAATGCCAAATGCCGCTAGTCACGGTCAAATATAGTTCTCTTGTTCGCCGGTAATGGACGATTAGCCAATGAGCCGTCCGACTAATTACCCAAATATAGCCGGAATGAAGTCAAATAATGGTCCTAGATGAATAAAACGGACTACTAATCACTTCTCGACTAGTATTTGGTGTCAGAAAGTCACAAAAAACTGGAAAACTTACTTCAATCTGAGTTAATAGATCGCGTGCATGTACCGACGGAGCGAGGAATTACCCAAATGTAGCCAAATGTAGCTGCAATGAAGTCAAATGATGGTCGTACAAGCGTAATTCGGGCTGTGAATCACTTCTCGATTATTATTTGGAGTCATAAAGTCACAAAAATTGGTAAACTTAATTTAATATGAGTTGTCTTGTGTTAGGTTAGGTTAGATTAGATTAGATTAGAATAGATTAGGTTAGGTACATGCACCTTATCTATTAACTCCGATTGAATTAAGTTTACCAATTTTTTTGACATGACACCAAATACTAGTCGAGGTTAGGTTAGGTTAGGTACATGCACTCGATCTATTAACTCAGATTAAATTAAGTTTACCAATTTTTGTGACTTTCTGACACCAAATACTAGTCGAGAAGTGATTGGCAGTCCAATTTATTCATCTAGGACCATTATTTGACTTCATTCCGGCTATATTTGGGTACATTTGGGTAATTAGTCGGACCCGCCAATGAGAGCACACTGACGGTAAAATAGCGCTAGTAGGAACTTACCGGTTACGGCAAAATATACGCTGCTTATTTTAAATGTGACATTTACTAGAACTTAACAGAACCTAACCTAAATTTTTACTTTTATCCTCTTCACCACTAATCGGCTTTAAGTGATCGGTCACTTCTCTGTTGACAAGTACTCGGCATGTACTGGCGGGACCGACTAATTACCCAAATGTACCCAAATGTAGCCGCAATGAAGTCAAATAATGGTCCTACATGAATAAATCTGACTGCCAATCACTTCTCGACCAGTATTTGGTGTCACAAAGGAAAAAAACATTGGAAAACTTAATTTAATCTGAGTTAATAGATTGCGTACATGTACCGAGGGAGCAAGTAATTACCCAAATGTAGCCGCAATGAAGTCAAATGATGGCCCTACAAGAATAAATCAGACTGCCAATCACTTCTCGACTAGTATTCGGTGTCACGAAGTTACAAAAAATTGGTAAATTTAATTTAATCTGAGTTAATAGATCGAGTGCATGTACCTAACCTAACCTAACCTCACCTCGACTAGTATTTGGTGTCACGAAGTCACAAAAAATTGGTAAATTTAATTTAATCTGAGTTAATAGATCGACTGCATGTACCTAACCTAACCTAACACATCTCAGATTAAATTAAGTTTACCAATTTTTTGTGACTTTATGACACCAAATAATAATCGAGAAGTGATTCACAGCCCGATTTACGCTTGTAGGACCATCATTTGACTTCATTGCGACTACATTTGGGTACATTTGGGTAATTAATCGCTCCCTCGGTACAAGCACGCGATCTTTTAACTCAGTTTAAATTAAGTTTTCCAATTTTTTGTGACTGTGACACCAAATGCTAGTCGAGAAGTGGTTGGCAGTCCGATTTATTCATGTAGGACCATTATTTGACTTCATTGCGGCTACATTTTCGTACATTTGGGTACATTTGGGTAATTAGTCAGACCGTGCATTGGCTCCTGAATGTACCTGAACCTGCTCCAGTGTTGGTCAAGTCTGGTCTTGAAAGAGCTCACACTCGGTGCCGTCACAACACTCTCTGGCAGATTGTTCCAACAGTTCACAACTCTCACTCCAAAAAAGTTTTCCCTCACAATTTTCTGGACTTGTAGCTTCTTCAACATTGAGCTGTGACCTAACTTTCTCGCCGGGGGAGATCCCCCGCCATATTAAATAGAAAGTACTTATTTTGATATCTGGTACCAATGAAAGCAACTTTGTTGAAGCATCATGGTGTAATCTTATTTTTTTCTGGATGTGAGAGTACAGTACACTCGAGCCGAGCGTGTCGGTTAGAAACAAACTGAGCAGACGACAGCACGTGGTGACTTGGCAGGTTTTTTTTTGGGAATATTTATGGTAAATAAATAATTTCTTCGCATACAAAGCACGTAAAGCATCATTTCAGTGTCATGTGATCAATTTTCACCGTGTTTTGCCCCACAATTTCCCTCGTTCTTCATGCCTTGACCACTGCAGGCGATTTGTGATAATAGAGAAAACAAAAAAAAATTCGCCTCTTCGAAAATACTTAATGTAATGATAAGAACATCTGTGGAAATAATGAAAGAAATTGAACTGTTGAGTGTTAAAAAATGAAGGTAAGAAAAACATCAATAATCAGCTGTTTGATGTAACAGACACATCTTGCAAACCCAAACTGACAAATTGTATGGTGTATAAAAAAAATCATCTGTATGCCGGGTAAAGACAAAGTCCACCACGGGTGGTAGTCAGGCAGCTTAAACTGTATACTGTATATGTGCTTAGAAACCTCAGTTAGATTATGCTGCAACCTGTGTGTACTGTACTGTATTAGAAAATAGGCAGAGGCTATTTTTCTGGTCACGTACCTTTAATTACTTCTGCTTATTGTCCGCCATTTGTTCTGATGGGTCAAGGCTGGTGACGCTATAGTACTACTGCATTTCTTATGTAGTTTTACCAAAATATATCTGGACTTAAAATTTTGAAAACATAATTTTTTATTTATTTTTTGATGCTGTTATAGTACTGTACTATGTAATACAAGGTTCACCAGAAGAATCTTCACACCAGTTTTTTTCACCTAAAGATTAACCACACTAATCTAACCATCCTATCCTAACCTCCCCCAAATAATATTAAGGTGGTTAATTTTTAGGTGAAATAAGTTAGGGTGGAGATTCTTCAGGTGATCCCAATGCAGTAAAGCATATCTAAAAATGCCATTTGTAACACCTACAGTATTGGTGAGAAGATCATGGTATGTTATATACAGTAGTTGTAACTGAGGCAAGGCAACACCAGTATTCTTGTATACAGTAAGTCAGAATTACCTGTAATTAAATGACTTTAAGTTACCTGTACTGCACTTAAATGAATACCTACTGAAATGTGTATTTTTGCAGGACATCATTGAGGGGGCTCACCCAGAGAACCCAATACTCCAGGTCTTGGTAAGTATGTTACTCTACTTTCTCTACAGTTCATTATCACATATAGTTGCCATTTTATTTATACATGTATATTTATTTATTTATTTGTTTATACAATCAAGACCTCACTAGCCAAGACTCAAAACCTTCAACCTCTGCATGTGACCAGGGATCGCTACCACCTCTCGCCATAAGGACGACAAAGGCAATCCTAGGCTTTGTTATATTTCACACAGTCTGTTCTATCGTGCTACCATCAACGCCGTGAACCTCCACCGAGGATTGCCCGTGACAACTATGTGGTTGGAGTAGCATTTTACCGAATCCAGCTGGAGGTCGAGGGTTCGAGTCTGGCTAGTGAGGTCTTTATCGTATGTTGAAGTTTGGGTGCTATATGGACTAATGAGATATATTATTTATTTATATAAATGGGTCATATATGCAACCTGGACTAATATTTGTTGTTCTGCAGTACTGTACTGTGTGTGCTTCACTATACCTGAAATGTGTGTAATCCAGATTGCAGTACTGGAAGTGGCTACAAGGTGAAAAATAGTGATTGAAATACATATTATAAGAGGTAGTTGCTGTGTTTGACTGGTCCCTCTGTTATAAATTTTGGGTGTTTAGATTATGGAAATGGTCTGAGTATACATTTGGTAGGTTTCACTGCATACATCACCTAAAGATTAACCACCCTAAGACTTTGGGGAGATTAGGTTAGGATACATTAGTTGTTAATTCAGTTTCACCACATAAAAATTTTACGAATATTTTATGAACCACATAAGTGTATATATGTTGTACTCCATACAGTCCATGAAGCGCCTCCCCACTGAATCTGAAGAACGCTACCGTCTCCTGGTGTCAGATGGAGAGTGGTCAAGTAACTTTGCTATGTATGCCAGACACCCCAATAGTAAAGTGACTAAAGAAGAGATCACCAAGAACTGCATCATTCAGATGAATCGTTACGTCTGTGAAACTGTCCAAGAAAACAAGAAGGTGAGGACGTGTACATGTTTTATATTACCTCTGCATGGACTGGGTGTACAGTTTAGCGCACTCGTATAGTACTGTACTGTACAGTGACTATGGTTAAGTGAGAGCTGTTGTTCCCTAGATTCCTGAAGTGTATTACTTTACCTGCACAGTATTTTATGTTTACCTTCCAATAATTCTGAAGTTATTAAAATGCTGTAGTTTTAATAGAATTAGTTACAGTACCTAATGTGAAGAGATTATAATATGTGAATAATGTAGGTCTTTCATCATATGTTTTTTGTGTAGTATATATAATGTATGTACTACTTGTACTGTATGAATATAATTTTCAACTTAGTACAGTACAGTATATATACACTATGAACATGAATGTATTTAATACTATACATAATTATATATGCGCAGTATATCAATACACATTAATGTATTTATGTATTTGCAAATTTGACTTGGCATAATACTGGACTAGTAATCTAGTGAGGACCGTGTACAGTACAGTACTGTGGTGAGTAAGTCGGTGGCACTGTTTGGGTATAAAACACTCCGGTACTGTACAGTATCAACTTACTCCTCTTGGGTAACCTCTGAGTTGCATTTTTGGCCAAGGTTTTAAGTTAGTAAATTGGTTACTCTTGATTTTTGTGTATGTGAATGGAAAAATAAACATTAATTGTGGAGTCTTGTTTAGTTTTGCTCTTATAATAAGGATGTTCATTGATGCTTTATATTATAGGTGCTGATTATTCTTGAGTTGAAATTGGAGCGAACAGGTGAGGATGTGGGACTTAAACTTGGGGACCCAGTGAATTATGATCCCAGCAAACCTAGAACTCAACAGCAGCCGAAGCAGCAGCAGCGCTCACAACCCCACCTGCCCACACCTTCCATGAGAGCAACTGGTACGGTATATATACCGTATTTTTCGGCTTAAAAGACGCACTTTTTTTGACAAAAATATACCTCAAAAATTACCATGCGTCTTCCAGGACACAAGTCGATGAGTTGTAGCAGAGGTTTTTGAAATCGGCCCCTTACAAAGATTGTTACCTCATTACAGTACTTAACAATTACAAGTATTCTCTATACAGTACCATAAAACTATTGATTTAACTAATATTGTTGATGTATTGCAAAAAAAAAAAAATAATAAACCCTTGCTGCTGTGTGGTTTGTTTACTAATGGCAGTGGTGCGGCAGCGCTATCTATTGAGGAATTGCTAAAGGTTGTCTGCTGGTCTCAAATGCAGGAATGTTTGTTTCTTTATATGTAGGCTCTCATGTTTGGACACCTATTTACAGTAGGCTCTCATATTTGGATACCCATTTAGACTGTAAAATCTTCCAAATTTAAATACAACTTCGTCATCCAAGTCAAAACACACACACACACACAACAACATTGGCTGTCCTTATGTTTTCAACTTTACTACAACTGGTAGGTATAATTTTTTTTAATTCAGAAACATTAATTAAAATTTATATGAACAGTAAATAAATGTTTTTTCATATTCTTATGTAGAGTAATGATGATATGTTTACACATGTGCTCACTTACATACGTGATCTCACTTTTTTTTACCCTTAATTGTTAGCTACTTCCATTGTTCCATTTATTAACATTAAATAACATTACTTAAAACAACCATATTAATTTTTCTACATTAATTTTAATACAGCTACAATGGAGGACTTATTTTCTTCAGTTTTATAATTATGTAGAACCAATCAGTCACTGGTTTTGCAAAAAACGAGTTGTTTTTTATTTTTATTTTGTTTTTAAATAAAGATTTTTTGTTTTATATAGACGTTGATAGACATGTTTACATTTGCTTTCCTTCTACTGTTAGAAAATATTTCTCTTCGTTGTCATACCGACAAAAACAAGAGAAAGAATGTAAACACTACAGCCCCTAAGATGTGGAGGTGACTAGGTGTATAAAATGACTGCTGTATTAAAGATTTCACCTTCTTATACAGAATTTTTTTTAAATTGATGAAAATGACGACTGATAAGCAATTGTAATTGATGATATTCAAAGAGGTGTAGGTAGTAGGCAGCTAATGTACCAAACAAGGAGGTACTACCATCTGGGAAGATATTGGAAGCATAATGTATTGTCTAATGGTAGACCCTGCTGCTATGTGACCAAGTCCCAGGTTGATGATCTGACTTTCTGCAGGGTCTCAATTGTTTCTCTTACTTTGACAACACAACATACATACAAGTATATTGTTTCTCACTCTTGATATTTTTTTTTCATTTTTGTATTTCTTTATTATTATTAATATTATTATTATATTTTCGCCCCCTAGGCCCCAATGTGGGTCAGTGACCTGTGCCCAGGTGGGCTAAAACACGAAATTTTTATTTTTTTAGAATTTCATTTCCAAAATCAGGGTTCGTCTTCCACGATGCAGCGTCTTCCAAGCCGACAAATATGGTACACAGTTGTCCTTGTTTCAACCCAACATCTGCCTTCCTATTCTATATACCTCATTCAGCTAGCAAGCACACTATTCTGCTTACAGTATCTGCAGATGCATCCTGTTAATTGTTCTGAGCCTTGCACTTGGCCTTCAGGTAGTACATGTTATCACCACCCATATTCCACATAATAGTGTCCAATTCATCATTCCACCACTTTGTTACTACACACCAGACTGGTCCTTTAGTCCAGCCACTTAACAGAACATGTTTTGATGTTTCCCGGTCACTACCCTTTTCATTGTCACTAGCTGCTTCCACTCTCCTCTACTCAGCATAGAATGTTCCTTTACTTTCTTTTATTTCACTTTCCACACACTCCTCCCTGGAACAAACACCTTCCTCTCCCTGCTCCTGTATGGCAACATGTCACACACAAGTAATCTTTGCTACAAGACACATTTCTCCCATGTTGTCAACTTAACATCCTTAACAAGCTTCCTTCCTCCTGCTTGGTTTCCTCACAGGTATGTAGTCAATTTAGGACCTTTGGACTAATATTTAAGTCCTGTTTATGCCAGCCAAGGCCACTTCCTAAATAAAACCAGTGGATGAGGGAGTGAAGCTCTGGGACTGGGAATATAACTCCTCTTTTTAATGGACACCTGTGCGGTATACAGTACTGTACATGGTTATGGCACTTCCATATAAGTTGGCATTTTCTAGGAATAAACAAGGACCTGTATTTTATTTCTGAGATTTTCACCTGTTTTCTGCCCCAAAAATGTAATTGTGACATTGTCTATCTTTTTAGTGTTACTGTACCTATATTTCCTCTTGATCTTTACTTCTTTAAGTTCTTTGTTTTGTAAGGTTACATTTTAAGTGATCTTCTCAGTTTTGTTTTCTTATTCCTACATTTTTTATGGTTGTTTTTTTCACTATTGATTTTAGTGTTAAAAGAATCATAATAATTTAACCTGATGTGGACACATTTACAGGTGGCACCCCTCAACGTAATCTCTTAGGAGATCACAACCCATTCAAGCAGGGAATCTCACCTTCAAAATCTCCAACAGGTGGAAATGTTCATCCCATTTGTTCCCTCACACCATGTCAGAATAAGTAAGTATGAACAAGTGCTCAGAGTATACAGTATTACCCCGCCTAACGCGGTTTCACTTAACGCGTTTTATCATATACGCGGTGCCTCGCCAGAGCTGAACTTTCACTTAACACGGATTTTTTCCACATATACGCGGTGAGTGTCCGGCTCGAGACGCTATTTTTAGATTTGCCCCACCCGCCACCCTGCCTGACTGCCTGTTTTAGCTCATAAAATTCATACAAATTACCCGGCCAGAATATAATTTACATTGCTGGAATTCTTATAATTTGGTGATCATTTTGAATATAAACATCATATATTTTGCATTAGACATACAAATTTTAGATAAAATTTTTTCTCAGAGTAACTATGTTATCTTTTGTGCAAAATATATGACATTTATATTCAAAATATTCCTGGTCTTACAAGGAATCCAGCAATGTCAATTATATTATCCTAACTTTAGTTTGAGGTATTATTTATTAAAATTTAGTGGTTATCCCACACATCTCCTTGGGACGGTTGGTGGGGGGTGGGGGGGAGGGAGGGACCGACCGACCATCTGTTACCCGGTGAAGAATTATTTTTTTTTTTATTAACTGAAGATATTTGTTTTAGCTCATAAAATTCATACAAATTACCCGGTCAGAATATAATTTACATTGCTGGAATTCTTATAATTTGGTGATCATTTTGAATATAAACATCATATATTTTGCATTAAACATACAAATTTTAGATAAAAATTTTTCTCTAGGTAACTATGTTATCTTTTGTGCAAAATATATGACATTTATATTCAAAATATTCCTGGTCTTACAAGGAATCCAGCAATGTCAATTGTATTATCCTAACTTTAGTTTGAGGTATTATTTATTAAAATTTAGTGGTTTTCCCCCAAAAATTTCTCTGAGAGGGGAGGGAGTTGAGTCCATTATTTGAATGGACATTAACTTGGCGACTGTATTTCTTTATTTCTCTTAAGTATTAATTGTGTGCATGTACCATCATAAAATTAAGATGTTATTTTTACTACAACATAGGTATGTGCCTTCAAAAAGTGGAGTTTGGGGGTCGGGCCGGTTTCTATTGGAATTAATCCCATATGTTCTGTTGTTCACTTAACGCGGGACCCTCTGGGTTCAATTGACCGCGTTAAGTGGGGTACAACTGTATTGATTAATGTATCATATAAGCCAGTGTTTGTGTCTAACTTGGTCCATTTTTTCAAACTTAAACTGTCAGGACGGCTCCAAACACTTCTTCACTTGTTTGTGGCCGACTCGGCATAGCTATTTGGTTCTTTCTAATGATTGTGTTGTGTGATGGGGACGACCCCGCATGCATTCCTTTATTTGAGAGGGTTGGTAGCCCTGCAACCTGGAGATGACGCTATCAGCAGTCCGAATTTGTAAGCAAACAGTAATTAGGGAAACGGAAAGAGCGGTGCATCTCACCAACGAGCAGCAAAAAACCATCATTTCTGAGCACAGTGCAGATATTCGGGGTAAACCTTGAGACTGTGCAAGCATTACTCCAATCTACAGAGCAAATTTAATGCTGCGTATCCATATCTGTAGCCAAGGTCCATCGCTCAACTGAAGGAAGCATGGGAACATATCTGTAAAGTAAGTACAGTATTACCCCGCCTAACGCGGTTTCACTTAACGCGTTTTATCATATACGCGGTGCCTCGCCAGAGCTGAACTTTCACTTAACGCGGAATTTTTCATCATATACGCGGGAAGCGGCGCGGGCACGATGCGCACAAGGTCGCCCAGTCATCAAAACATTACCGAGTTCTTCACCCGCCACCCACCACAGCCGGCCCAAGTCAGTGATAGTGATAATTATAGTGAGGATATGGCCTTTGAGGGGTTTGACAAAGAGGCCCTGCAAGCCTCTGTGGTGGATAGTGATACAATTGATACAAGTGATACAGGTGAGGGCCAATAATCTGCCCTCTGCCTCGGAACCAACCCCCATCCCCGTGTGCCCAGCCATCTTTTCTACTAATGCAAGTGTTAAAAAACCTAATATTATTGATATTTCTCTTAATTATTAATTGTGTGTGCATACCATCATAAAGTTAAGATAAAATTTTTACTACAACATAGTTGTGTGTCGTCAAAAAGTGGAGTTTGGGGGTCGGGCCAGTCTCTATTGGAATTAATCCCATATGTTCTGTTGTTCACTTAACGCGGTTTTCACTTAACGCGATACCCTGTGGGTTCAATTAACCGCGTTAAGCGGGGTACTACTGTATGTGTGTTATTCTCTGCACTTTTGTTTTCTTAGTCCTGTTTTGATATATAGTTCGCCCTTTCCATCGTGATTAAATTAACTATATTTTCAACCACTATACAGTATTTCAATAGAACACATGGAATACAAAAGGAAAATATTATACTGTAGTGATGTTTCATAAATGTTTTAAATGTTGTTTTTAATGGTATTATGCATTCAGCCATATATGTGTATAAACCACAATACAGTACTGTGATGTTATTAGAAAATTATGTGATATTGAATTTTTTCCTTTGGAACAATTCATGACTAATGGCTTAGATTAGATCAGTTTGCCTTTCATAATTAATTTGGATCACTTGAAGATTCTACCCACCAGCTTATTTCACCTCGGATTAATCACCCTAACATTATTTGGGTTATGAGGTTGGGTTACCATTAAGGTGGATAATCTTTAGGTGAAATAAGCTTGAGGGGGTGGGGAATTTTCAGACAATCCAAAAAATTTATTCCATTTTTATTGAAGGGGCCAATTTATAAGTTATTTTCAATGTTAAAGGGTCAATATCCACGTGAAGAAGAAGTCAGGCATTGGAGAGAGTGTACCACCTAGCCCACCCGAGTACGATATATTGGCCACAGCTGCTGTTCAGAAAGTGAAAGAGGGGCTTGAGGCTGCCATAGGTACGAGATTAAAATTTGTCTTGTATATGTGTGATACCAATAAAAATTATTAGATTATGTATTGTAATTTTTATGTAAAAATGTAAATAAAACACACAAACCCTTGCATACACGTGTCCTGAACTGAATTGAATATTAAAATTGGCATCCCCATAATGAAGGGATTGTGAGTTAAGTAAGATATGGTACAGGTATTTGTAAAAGCAGTTGTAATAAAAAGATGTCTATTACATTATTGGAGATTACATATATTGAAATACAGTAATTGATTGTGTTGATAAATACATTGAACCCTCAATTTACGCGGTCAATTGAACCCACGGCAGCCCGCGTAAAGTGAGAAACGCGTTAAGTGAACAACATAACATATGGGATTAATTGAAATAGAGACCGGGCCGACCCCCAAACTCCACTTTTTCCGACACAATACCTATGTTCTAGTAAAAATAACATCTTAATTTTATGATGGTACACGCACACAATTAATATTTAAGAGAAATAGAGGAATACAGTCGCCAAGTTAATGTCCATTCAAATAATGGACTCGACTCCCTCCCCCTCTTCTCACACTCGCTGGCTCTTCCCTCTCTGAGAAATGATTGGGGGAAGACACTAGATTTTAAGGTATAGTAATAAATAATACCTCAAACTAAAGTTAGGATAATATAATTGACATTGCTGGATTCCTTGTAAGACCAGGAATATTTTGAATATAAATGTAATATATTTTGCACAGAAGATAACATATTTACTCAGAGTAAACAAAATACTTAGGTTAGATCTAAAATTTGTATGTCTAATGCAAAATCTATGATGTTTATTTTCAAAATGATCATCAAATTGTAAGAATTCCAGCAATGTAAATTATATTCTGGCCGGGTAATTTGTATGAATTTTATGAGCTGAAACAAATATAATGAGACAAATCTCACAAGAAGAGAATTACATATATAGGTAGGAAGTATAGAGAGTAGGAATGTAAAGATAGGAAACTTGGTAGCGTGGCCTGGATGTTATTTGCACAGCGTCACTACGCTTATCTTATCTCGTATGTCAATACACATATATCACTTCTTAAAGGGACAACTTGTTAAACACCTCTTGATACAACTATTTATTACTTCACTCAATGACATGGACACATTAATATCACTATTATATCGGGGTACTAACACATTATGCTTTACGTTACTTGACACTGACTCTCGGACACACCTGAATGAATACACTTCCCACAGTAGGTAACTCACCCTAGGACGTTCTGACAAGACTCACGTGTACCCTGACGTAGGCCCAGTGGGAGAGGGCCAGCCGGGCGGCCTTCCTGCGGGAGAGTTCGTTATTTGGCGAGTGTTGGTCTTGTCGGGAGGTCTCTTCCTTAATTTTTGGAGGGGATTGCGTGACTCTGCTTAGTGAACCCAGCAGACGCACTTAACGGGAGGGGATGACAGCAACCAGGCTGAGAATCCCAGTATGACCAGAATGATAATGATAATTCCAGTGCCCGTGGACGGACTGTAGGCCTTTTATATGGGGTTTGCCCAGCGTTGACCTTCAACAATTAACACCAAACTGGTTTCTGATCTAGAGATAGCCAGCAGGGTGGTGGTCCTGGCCAGGTGTGTCTGGCTAGGTGCGTGTTGTAGGCCCGCCATTGGGGGCGGCGAGGTCCCTGGCCCACCTGAGGTGTAGCCAACCGGAATGTGGTACTACTCAGGTTCGGTGATTGTACTTGTTGTTAAGTATGCTAGCATACTCCTCTGGGTCAGGTTCTAATAAATCTACTATTACACCTCCTGCCAAGATTCAAAGTTTTAATACAGAGACTGATGCCAAGATGGTAGAGAAAAACACGTGCAGTGGTGTCATGATAATCCCTCAAGTATAATGATAAATCTCTACACACAATAAAACAATTATAGGTGTATGTTTTTTTCTACTGCTAGTTTGACTTTGACAGCTCACTATACCTCCTCCCAACACAAGATCAAAAGCCAAACAGGAGCAGTAAGGAAACACAGTAAGTGGAAATATAGAATGAAAAAATCTTCATAGTGTAGTATATATGAGGCAAAACTGGTAAATCACATTCTACAACCTAATAACAGGTAATATATTTCTTTATCAGTCCCCATGTCAAATAATAATCATTCTAATATGAAGCACAACATCGTGTTTTCTGCGGTCTGCACATTGACTAAAACAACTCATTGAAAAAGGAGACTAAAAAAAGACATTCTTGTAGTAAAACATCGGGCTCAAAACAAGAGAAAAATACTTCAAAATACACCCAGACCTTGACTTATGAGACTGGCTGGATTACGAATTGGACCCACGACCTGCCCTAGATAAAAAAATTTTTAATTTTTATACCGAATAGCCCAGTTAATGTAGTCTCCATAATAGAAGAAGACTTAAGATAGCGGCTGCCAAGCGTTCAGTCACACTGTATCCATTCTTATTATTTACATATCAATTAACCATTCATTTATTCATATTGTATTTCATTAGATTTTATTAAAAAAAATTTTTATATCTATATTTGACTTAATAGACCATATCGACTCTACGACCTGATTTAGTCTCGAACCCCGTCGTAAGTCGGGGTTTAGGTGCACACAAAAATGTTCTATCACATATTAGGCATGGATATCTTTTATTATGTTAATCAACAACATCAGTACACAACCTGGTCCGCATTGCTCAATGCTTCTTCCATCCAGCTGGTATTCGAAAATAGATGCATGCAGCTCAGTTAAGTTGTATTTAAGCCGGTCCTTCATCAACGACTTTCTTGTGATGTCAGGATTGCCCATCTCCTTTCTGTCTTTCATGATATGCACATCTTCTGTCTTCTTTTCTTCATATACCGCGACCTTGTAGGTCGTTTCTCCACCTCTGACTCTTCACCTTCCTCCCGGTTTCTAGTACTATTCCACAGATCTAGTTTTCTGTCCCATCTGGGCGCTCTTCCCACGCCAGAGCCTCATTTTCAATCAACGTAATCAACGCCTTCTAGATGAATTTTCTGTTCCATTCTTTTTCTTAGTACATCACTATTTTCATATTCCAGACTAATTTTAGTGTTCATTCATGCTTATAATAATTATTTTCATATTCCAGAGATGAATTTCTTGCTCCATCTGTATTTCTTCCGCAACATCATCATTTCAACATATTCCAGATCTATTTTTTCTGTTCATCTGTTGCCGCCTCCCGCCGGATGAAGGCCGGTTCACTGCTTGGGCTGTCGCTCTTAGATGACTGTGGGCAGGTTCCCGTGACCAGGCTCGCCTCTCCGCACGTGAGTGTCGGCGAGACCAAAGACCGTCCTGTCTTTACACCTTCCACAGTGGTGAATCCTCCTGGCTGGGCTCACCAGGGTTCAAGGTGGCGATCCATTCACACTCCTTAACTTCTTAGTGAAAAATATAAAATTTCCTTAATCCCAGACCAAGGAGGACTTGAAAGAAGTGGGCGCAGTGTGGTGGGTTTCCTGCTGGCTCATCACGCCTGCATTCATCACGCCTGCCACTGTTATGCTGGTTCTTCTCTCTGCTCGTATGTACTGTGGTTGGACGTCCGCTGGCTATGGTGGTACTGTGGAGGACATTGACAGAGAAAAACAATCCTAAAGTGATGATGGATCAGTTGAAGTGCATTCGCAAAAAAGTTTATTTTCTACTTCACGCCAATGTTTGGCAACTACGGCTCACAATGCATACAATGTTCTCATCAGGCAGGGTCGGGGAGTGAGCTCACAAGACTACACTGAATATCATTTATCACGCGCACAAAGAGTACATCACAAATCATAATAGCATAAAATACTGAGTGAAGCTCTGCATTCATCGCGAATATTATTTTTATATTAACCATCATCAACACACAGCTTAAGGGACAAAGACGGGGATTAGTGTGGGTCAAGCAGGCGTGGGGCGAGTCAGAAGGACGCGGAGGTCACACGAGCGGGTGGGCGGAGGCGGGCGGGCGGCACTGGGCGAGGCGAGGCTGGCTAGGGCCCAGGCCAGGCTGGTGCTTATGGTGAGGTGGGGAGGAGCCGAGGCGGGTTGATCGCCAGGCCGAGGTCATGGGCGGGAGGGCACGAACGAGGGGCGGGGCAGGATGTGATGAAGGTAAGGAGGGTGAGGGGCGATTTAGGACAGGGGAGAGGATGTAGGTTAAAGACAGTTAAGTTATAACAGTTAGCAGCCAGACACCCCGCTTACTGAAACAACAATAATGGCTACATTTAACACTGACTCAACAACTCAAACTGCACTTAAGCATTGAGAATGCCATAGTAGCGGTGACACTGAGAAATTACGTTAAGAATTGGAACATATTTCTTTTATTAAAAGTTCAGCATTGCCACCACCACACAAGAGACATTTACTTGAGCTGTAACGGTGATACACACTCAGGATGACTTTTTCACCCTACCACGTTATAGAACTTCTTCTTATCACCAATTTCTTGAACTAACGGTATTGGTAAAAGCGGCTACCAGGAGGCATGGGTTTACGCGAAGCACACTGTTACCAACAACAAGGGACTAGGGGGCGGGTTAACTTCATAGTTCGCTACCACCAATATAATTGAGACAAATCTCACAAGAAGAGAATTACATATAGTAGAAGCATAGAGAGTAGGAATGTAAAGATAGGAAACTTGGTAGCGGGCCTGATGTTATTTTGCACAGCCGCCACTACGCTTATCTTATCTCTGTAGATGTCAATATCACATATATCACTTGGGTGGGACAAATTTGTTAAACACCTCTTGATACAACTATTTATTACTTCACTCAATGACGTGTGGACACATTAATATCACTATTATATCGGGTACTAACACATTATGCTTTATCGTTACTTGACACTGACTCTCGGACACACCCGGAATGAATACACTTCCCTTACAGTGCAGGTAACTCCCACCTCAGGACGTTTGACAAGACCACGCGGTACCCCTGACGTAGGCTCCAGAGTGCTGGTTGCTGCCTCCCATGGGAGAGTTCGCTTTAGCTGGCGATGTCGCGGGTCTGGTCTGGTCGG